AGTCATTGAATCCTCACATCACGTGTAAGATATGTCGAGGATATCTCATCGACGCCACCACTGTTACCGAATGTCTTCATACGTGTATGTATTGTCACTTTAACTGATCCAATGCTATGACAATTGATGTGTTGATCCGTTTCGGGTATAGTTTGCAAGAGTTGTTTAGTGAAACACTTGGAGGAACACAACTCGTGTCCCACGTGTGAGATAGTCATACATCAATCACATCCACTCCAATACATCAGTTTTGACCGCACAATGCAAGACATCGTCTATAAGTTGGTCCCAAATCTACAACAAAGTGAGTCCACAATTGGCCGCTCATTATGTCTTCACTGCTAACCAAATGTGATTATAGATGAGACCAAACGAGAGCGTGATTTCTACCGCCGACGCGGTCTTCCGTACCCGAAGGCCAACACCGATAAGGTTTGCGAGAAAGATGTCTATACTTTCCCCACAAACACGACCACCAAAGAGGAGAACAGCGATTGTCACCGAAGCGACGAACAGGTGAACATTCTTCTGGAGACCACCAATCAAACCAATCACATGAAGTCCATGAAACGCAAATTCATCCGATGCTCAGCTCAGGCGACGGTCACTCATCTCAAGAAATTTGTGGCCAAAAAGTTGTTCAATAATTTAGATCGATATAAAGAGGTAATAAACGAGACTTACTATTGGTTTATAGACTCATTGATTTCATTGATATAAAGGTTGAGATATTATGTAACGAAGAGATATTAGGAAAGGATCACACCTTGAAGTTTGTTTGTGTCACGCGTTGGAGATTTAAAGTATGTGTTGATCTCTTTTGCCAAAACCCTTAACACTAACCCAAGTATTACTTAATAGGAATCACCGCTAAAATTGGTTTATAGGCCGCGACAAGACTTTTGATACTCTAATCTATAATTTAAATAATTTATTCATCATTTGATTTGCAATACATCCCATAATAAATATCATTTCTATTTTATTCATTTATCATCAATAAAAACAAATTAATTATCTTATTTCAAGGCTTTATGTGTTTTATTATTATTTATATTGATTTAATGATTGCATAACTGCTTAATATCTCTGTCAGTCAGTTGTTATACAATATAACGAGTTTGAAGACAAAAAAAGTTTCCTTCTTTGGACAGCAATAAACACAAGTGAAAGAGTGGGTGAGCTATAAGTCAATGACTATTGAAAAAGTAATGACAGTATTTTTCATTACATCTTAATTGATAGACAATTAACTAATTGTTTATTTGTTTGAAAACAAACGTGAAATCATTTAATTAAAAATTAATTTAATAGTTAAATACAAAGCAAATTTCATGTGCGATACAAAGCGGGAAAACCCAGCGCTAAGACTGTCCTTCAATAGGAAAGCGAGTGCTTCGTTGACCTTAATATAAACGCAACTCCTTTTCAAAAGTTGTATTTCAATCTCGTATTCAGTTCTAGTGTTTTGTTTCATTCGCTCTCAAATGTGTTTTCAAGTCTATTGCCGCCGGACTTGAATTGTTTGAAAAGCTTTCAATTTGTCCTAAATTTAATGCCGACACACAATGTTTGCTCTCTTCTGACATTTACTTCTGGATAAGACTTCACAGCGAAAACATCGCAAACAGTCATGTCTTTCGCTATTGAATGCGACGAAGGATTTGTTACGAGTGTTGCGACCAATCGTTCAGTCGATAACTTTCAGGTAATTCACACTAATATTACTCATATTATTAATTATCCTATACTTTAAGTTTGTTAAACAATGTTTATTTCATTACATGTGTGTCAATCATTATATCCTTCAATAACTTTAAAATATGTCAAATAAATAATATATTAATTATATTTATTAAAATTATATTTATTGTATTGTTTGAGAAGAGTTTAGCAAAATATTAACTTTTTGTGTGAAAAGTAATACAAGTTTTTGTTATATTACTGTATTAAACATATTATGTTTACTTTAAACTATAATAAACGCAAATTCTTGCGACATATTTGGAGTTTAAATAATTAGGACATAAACTTATAGTGAATGCTAAGAGTACCTCAATTTTATTAACAATGTGTTATATTATGTTATATTTATTTATCGCTATATAACAAATTTATGCAATATTTATATAAAAAATTAAGAAATATTTATAAAAGTTTATAAAAATCTAATTGTAATAATAATTAATAAATATAATAAATGTTTGGAAATTGAAACAAAAATAATTTAGAAGTTTTAATTTATGAATAAAGAAAATGTTGATTCAAACGACACATTTATCAGTATTTAGGGGAATATTGTGCTGAGATTTTCCCAAAATTGGACATTTAATGTATTACTGACTAGAATTTAATTAAGTTTTTTATTATAAAATCTCAATACATATGCACTTAATGCGAGTCAAAGGGAAATCCATTTCATTGAACCCCAACTTTGTGTTGAAATCTTTCATAGAATTCGTACTAATGTTATACTCAAACAACACAACAGAATATTTTTACAATTAGTAATTTTAGTTTATTTGTGTATGAAATGCAACTACATTTAACTACATGTAACATTACATCTACTTTCAATAATTTTACAACAATATAATAAATCATGATTGTACTCGTTATGCAAATTATTGTTGTTAATTTAGTTGTTAACACATAATAGTGTAATATTAACTAATATCAATAGAAATTGAAACAACACAATGAAATATTTTGGAAACTAATTTCCCCACAACTCATTCAACCTAATGATTGTTATTCGGAAATAATAGTTCATTTAAATCTCTATACTATGGGAGCTATTAGTGGAAAAACCTGTCACTAAAATTGTGTACCAAACAGAGTCCGTACAATCAATATTTCTCATACCTCTCAGCTCTGGGAACCGAAACATTGATTGGAAAATTCCAATGCCTACTACTTGTTATACCAATCATCTTCTTTAGCCAAAAAGTTATACAATATATATTTTAGTCAATTGATTGTTTCAAAATCTTTTACTTTCTTGTAAACAAATTAATATTGTTATGAATTTTGTTTTGAAAACTTTATAAGTATGGTATATACTGTAATTATCATTAAACTTAAAAGTTTTTAGCCATACATATAAAATTGTTTACTGTTGTAATTAAAACTATCTGAAATAGTAGTTAGTTTAATGGTAAGTTAACAATATTTACATCATTTATCTAATTATTTGAAAATTGATATAATGTATAATTGAGAGTCTAATAGTAAAATAAAAGTTATATACTATAAGAGTAAGATTTTAGAAACAATTCTCATAATTAATAATAATCTAATATAACGTTTAAATTATTCGTCTACTCAAGGATTTTGCCATATCTTTGAAGGCTCTCTAAAATCTTTCATAAATGTATTCTTTTTGAAGGATTTAAATGTTTTTATTTTAATTATATTTCTTATTTTGAAACAAAAACTGAAGTGCAATACCGAGACCTTCGAGATGTAACTTAACAGAGATTTCATACACAATGGGATGTATGGCATGTAAGTCCTTAATTCAGAGGGTGTCTGTCTTATTGCCACAATATTAAGTGTTTCCAAACAAATTCAATATTCAATTAATAAAATCATTGTAATTAGAAATAAATTATTTTTAAAAATGTGTTGCAAGATATTGATTTAAATATTTTTTAAATGATGCATATATTTTATATGCACAAATATTTTTATAATTAACTCTTACAAGTTAGTTATCAATGAGCATAATTATTCTATACAAATAAAGATACAAATGAATAGTCCAAATGAAATATGTTGTGAATTAATGCTAAATATTCAGGGTGTACATTAATCGACTATAATTTTACAAAGTCGAATATCTCGAAAGTATTCGGTCTAGAAATTCAAATGATATATCAAAACAGTCATCAACTGCCGGAGTTTTTGTTATGATATGGTCAATACATGTATGCTTGACCTCCTATTTTAAAAATAATTTCCAATCAATCAAAGTTTTATCATTTTTTCCATAGACATAATGTTAACTTCAAACTTATTTTTGCTTCTGTTTAAGAATCTGTAATCAAAATTCTTGTGCTGTTTGTATTATAGAAGTTTATTTTGCAAAAGTTGTGTATTTTGAGATCAATACTATTTGTTATACATTTGAAATATTAAAAAATCATTAATTAACCAAAAACTACATGCAGCTGGAGATGTTACTGATGAAAGTTTGGGAACGTTTAGGGGTCTCAATGAACATTTAGGCTAAATTTTCAACCACTCTATATTAGCGACAGCTACATGTATATTACACATATTGACTAAATAAATCACTAATTTGTGTAATTTAAACTAAATTAACGACTATTATCAAAAGTTAATTTATTAAAATACTTAACTTTAACTTAATTAGTCGTAAATTCATTATTATTTTGTATAGAATTTTAGATTTCATACTTTATGTAAAATATTCATAGAATATATAACAGAATTTGCAACAATCTTTACTAAATCGGAAATATTTAAAGAACCAAAACATTGTTCATTATTATCTTAAATGGAAAATGTCTTAATTAGTTTGATGTTTATATATTTTACCACATTAAAAGTACCTAAATTTAGTTAAAAACATATAAGGATTTCACATTTAAAAGAAAATTTAGCCCAAAATTTCAAAATTTAATCTAAATAAAATGTTCAGTAAAATTTTCTTCCCTACATGCAGCACAATAATTTGATCTGTTCCCATATACTACATCTTAACATTACCTAGATCCTATAAAACTCGTAATTTCCAATTAATTCATTCTTCATGTATGAATTGTGGTTAAAAATTATTTGTATTTATTCTTATTTTATAGAAAGTGAATGAATGTAATACCGAAGAGAAAGGAAGAGCTGATCCAAACCAATGCAAACACTGTTTATTACTCGAGTCTCAAAATAGTTATTTGTCGAGTGAAAGCGCAAACTTAAAAGAACTCAATAAAGAGGTTTCTATCAATAATTTACAAATAAAATGTAATTTTTAACGAGAAATGAATTGATTTTGAAAGTTGTATGAAATGGACCAAAAGAGACAGAAATATGATATCGAGAGACAGGACTATATCCTACGGCTGTTGCGAACCATTAAAAGACTGCAATTAAGATCGAGTCGAATGATCAGCGAATCGGAAAGTGATTGTCAGTCAATGAGTGAACGACAGAATAATGTCCGCAAAAGTCAACCACAAGACGAAGAGAAGGAGAGATCGCTTTTACAGCAAAGTTATGAAAACGCTCTCAAAGAAAACGTCAATTTACACAAAGAATTGGAAGAATTGAGGATTAATTTCGATAATTTGATCGAAGAGTTGAGCAAAATAGAGAGCGAACACATCCAAGTGCTCCAAATGCACACTAATCTTTACAAAGAGGACTTCGATTGCGAGCGACGGCAGAAGGAAAACGCTTTGAATGAATTGCAAAAACACAGGAAAGAAAATGAAAGTTTGAGAACTATTTGTGCGAATTATGATCAAAAGTTGCAAATATTTGTTCAACTCTTTAAAAACCAAAGCCTTTCGACACAACGAGAAGTGAAACAGAGCTCTAGTCTTACCAAAGTTGGGGTCAAAGAAGAGACAAACCGAACCCATTCACTGCCACATGAGTTCAGACATAAAATCAATAAAACCAATGATTTAAACAAAAGCCAAACCAACAGTCAATCAAATTCAGAGATTTGCAAATCCGATGAACTGCTCGAATGTCCCAATTGTCGGATCCTTTTTCCCATTCAATTTCACGAACAACTTCTCCAGCATTTCGAGAAATGTCAACGAAATATTTGACGTTAACTTCATGTTATGTTTACTATTCATGTTTGTCTTGTTTTGTCATTTTATTATATTGTAATGTTTTATAAATGATTACAATTATTGTATAGGAAATCATTTCAAATAATATGTTCGCTATTTTGTAATACAATAAAAAAATAATAAGTGATAATCAATACATGGGTTTAAATACGAAGAATTGTCGCTCATTTAGAGGCCGTATATCTTGAGAGAACGATCCAAACTAACGGAAACCAAATACCGTGAGTCGTGTCCAAAGCGAACGCCAGTGGCGGCCGCCGTATGATCTGCGAAGGTCTTCAAGTTTTCCCACTGTTTGCTGATATAAACCCTGACATCAGTTCCGGCGACCGCCAAATAAGTGCCGCTTTGGTCGAAGCAGAGGTCCTTCACCTGATAGTTCTCCTCCAAGAATATGGTCTTAAAGTTCTTCAATTTGCGTAAATCCCAGAGTTTTATAACCGAGTCGTCGGCAGAAGTGGCCAAATAATAGCCGTTCTCAGAGAAAGACATGGCGGAGATGGAGCCGGAATGGCCGGGAAAGTTGGCCACATTGCTCCGCTCTTTCAGGTCCCATATCTTGATGAGGGAGTCGGAAGTGCCGGTGCCGAAGATGAGTCCGTCCGGATGGAACTGAGCGGTGGTCAGTGCGTGTGGTGTCGATGTGTCGCCCACTTTAGTCAACACCCGACCGGTGTTCAGGTCAGAGAAGGCCCAGTGCTCGTCAGTCGACGTACTCAACACGTAATCGCCGGTCGCGTGAAGACTGATCGCAGTGATGGGCCCGTCGTGTGCGCGAACCACTTGCAGTGTCTGAGCGGTCGGTAAATGCCAGACACGGATCTGACTGTCCGGCGAAGCAGTGATGACAGTGTCTTGGTTTGGATGATATATAACTGATGTTACTTTCTTTGTGTGACCCTTAAGTGAAGTAATCACTTGTTCGTTGTCTTTGTTGAAGACGATAGCGTTCTTATCGTTACCGCCGGTCAGTATCCGATTGGTATCAGTCGGACAGATGTCCACCGATAGTATTCCAGGAATACTAACGCTATGAAGACCTGAATGAGAAGCCAATGTCTTAAAGTTTCGCAATTCTTCCGATTTAATCAGCTCTTCGGGGACTATCTTTCCGCGCCGTTTGCGTTCAGCCGTTAGAACCGATGCCTTATTCTCGAGTTTTTCCAATACTTCGGCAGTAATACCGGTCTCCTCCATGTGATCGGCCGATTGGTCGCCACCCGTGTTGTACTGATGAGCCATTTGGTTGGCATTAGAAACGCCGGCTTTGGGCTTAAGAGTGGCCAACGCCTCGCGAGCGGCGGTCACCTCTTTGGTGAGCCGTGCGATCACACGACAGGCGGCGTCGTGTTGGTAGAGGGCGTGCGACAGCTCCTGTCGGGCCGTCTGGAGCTGTTGTCTTAGAGTAAAGCTGTGGAGCATAACGGCGTCCCATTCGTCCTGAAGTGTCTTCAAAATGGCCGGAATACTCGTCGCCGACGGCGGACGCGGCTTAACAATAGCCGGCGTTTTGATCTCAATCAGCATGTCTTCGGTCAACTCCTGGCCACCGATTGGATCCGTTTTGTGTTCTTCGATATACTTGAGGATCAGTCGCTTCTCAAACACAGCCCCCGACTGAGTGGACACAACCGCCACTTCCGGCACTTCATTGCTTAGAGCGCAACACAAAGACATGGTTTGAGTGGTGTTTGCAAAGAGTGGTAATCAATGGACACAAAGAGTCTTCACTACAGATATCGACCAAACGTTTGAAATGTGTTCACAAAAAGTCTCTTCAATTCAAAACATGGTTTGCATTGGATTTGAAAGAATGACTGAAATATACAGTTATCACCACTTATTACCACTCAATCGCTTTTATGTCTCCCAATATTGATCCCAAACTTCAACTCAAACCACAAGAGATGATAATAAACACACTTTTGATTTATAGTAATTTATACTAATATTAATTGAAAACAATTATAATTAATTTAATAAACTATTAACTGGTGTTTATTGTACTGAAAATGTGGTACAAAACACATGCAATTCTCGCCAATAGATGTCTGTATAGAAAATGTATACAAGTTTTGGCCAAACATTGCATTGAATACAGAATTGAATTGAATTAAAGTTAATAAAAGTTTTGAATGTTTTAAATGTAATTCAATATAACTATTATTTGACGATAAGAGCAGTGATTGTAATGAATGTGTGTTTTAGAGGCAAAAGTTGTGCCAAAATATTAATTTCATGTTTGGTCTTGACTTTGATCCTCACGTTTTGGATTGCATTACATTTGTCTCCAATCATAACAAACGGCTTAAGTGTCAACACATCCGACTGCAAGTGCTCTTCGGGCGAATCCAATGATCACCAAAAACACGTCAAAGTCATGTCATCGATGGACACGTCTGTCCACAGACTGGCAGTTGTGGTGCCCTTCAGAGACCGTTTCGACGAGTTGTTGACATTTGTTCCGCATATGAATGCATTCCTGAAGAGACAGGGAATCGATTACAAGATATATGTCATCAATCAGAAGGATGTCTACCGTTTCAATAGGGCTTCCCTTATAAACGTGGGTTTCCTTATATCGCGTCCGGAATGCGATTACATGGCTATGCATGACATCGACCTCTTGCCTCTCAACCCCAACCTCTCCTATCGGTTCCCATCCGACGGTCCGTTTCACGTGTCGGCACCTAATCTGCACCCGAAATACCACTACAAGACATTCGTCGGCGGAATACTTGTTATAAGTGGCCAACACTTTGAGAGAGTCAACGGAATGTCAAATAACTACTGGGGATGGGGTCTCGAGGGTATGTCCACTCCTTCTCCGCAAATACATCTCTATTCTTATGTTTTCATTTTCCCCAAAAAGACGATGAATTCTATGTCCGACTCAAAGAAGCAAATCTTGTCGTAAGAATTCATTTATTTTAATCATATATGCGTTGAAATTCTATTAAGACTAATATTCTTTCAAATAGGTCTCAAGACCTGAAGACATTACCACAGGAATTAACGATACGTTTAGTCATATCCATAATCCCAGCCGTAAGAGAGACACCGTTCGTCTCTTCAACCAAAAAGAGGTTTAAATTACTTATTTGGAGGCAAATGTTGTTTTAACTAAAGAAATGTCAAATTTATAGATAACTCGTAAAAGGGATCGAAAGACAGGTCTGAATTCAGTGCAATTCCGATTGAAAAGTGTTAACGAGTTAACGATAGACTCTTCGCCGGTCACCGTATATAATGTGCAATTAATTTGCGACCAATCAGTCACTCCGTGGTGTCAGAGCCGACCGACAGCCGCTGCCAACAATTCCGATTGAAAAGTGTTAACGAGTTAACGATAGACTCTTCGCCGGTCACCGTATATAATGTGCAATTAATTTGCGACCAATCAGTCACTCCGTGGTGTCAGAGCCGACCGACAGCCGCTGCCAAACGTGCAAAAGTAGCCAATTCTTGACACCCTTTGAATGACTTTTGTTTGAGTCGCGAGAGGGAGAGACAGACATATTTGGGTTAAGGATAGAGTGGTTACAATGGTTACATACGTTGAAGACGTCATCGGAGTTATGAGAAAAAAGTCATTTACACCTCAAATACAGTGGATGTGAGTTATGATTGTTGTCGAAGAGATTGCGTGGTCTCTGATGGCAGTAGTTCTGCGATTGTCTCCACTCTTACACTGTTTGAAAAGTTTTACTTTTGTTTTGCTTTTAGTAGTCATTCAATAGGTATTGAATGGCAAAGGAATCGCCCTTTTATTCAATACATTTATAACTCTTTTAATAATATTATTAATAATTTTGATTAAAACTTAATGCAAGAGTCAATACATTTGTAACGAAAGCATTGGTGACAATATTTTGCAAACAATGATCAATAGATAATGTTTTTAGTGTCGATCAGATCATTGGTCTCATCGATGTCCACATGTGAACAATGGCCACAACTAGTGATTCACCAATTCTTGTGAATTCTCATCCAATTTGTCATTCATTTCATCATTTGTTCAAAATTTGTATATTTTTTATTTGTTTTCTTCATTCGTGTCATTCATATAATGGTTAGTAAAATATTTGACACAATATATACTCATGTTTTTGTCACTCATTTATGCCTTAATTATGACAAAAAGCACTTAATTTTTCATAATTTTAATTTATATTTAATAATGCATTCAATTATTATTAATATGAATTAATCAATTGATTGATGTCTATAAACTACTCATTTGTTTTCAAGTATACATTGATTCATAACTATTAATATATGATTCATTATATGTTATGCAATATAACTAATTATATAGTTTTGGTATTTATTATAATGTTTTGTATTTGTTTTATAATTAAATATAAGAAATATAATTTATATTTGATGAGCGCAACGGTTATTAAACTATAATCTCATTTAATGACTGATGGTAACCAAGATATAAGGGTTGGAACTAATATAAAATGTTACATTTATTGGTGTTATGCATCAAAATATGTTAATATTGAAGCCATTTGTCAATTAGTGAGATATCGATGTAATATTTGAGGCACTGTTTAGGCCCTCCGGACAACTCATTTGCATTTGCTTTACAATCCTTTTAGCCATAAAATGAGAGATTCAAACACCAGTCACTCATCTCGAGTCTGCTTTACATACACTTCAGTCCAGTTGTTGTACTCAATGTTAGTTAGATTTTCCAAAATATATTTAATTAAATATCAAATAATATTTGATAGAATTTATATTTTATTTTATTTTTTAATATTATATTCAAATTAATATAAAGTACATGTAGTCACTACATTGTAGTGAATGATTGAGTAGTGATTGTTTGATCGGATATTAGTGTCGGTCATTAGAACAGAGGATATTGAATGCAATTAATTATTTCCTATAATTTTTTATAAATATAATTTGTAAAATGTTGTATAAGTTGTATATAATGTTCAATTGGAATTATAATATTGTTTACAAATTGATTGAATATTATATTATATTATAATAATTATAAGAACCAAAGTACCAAAAACATCACATTTCTTAATGTTTAATAGTTTTGAAAGATTTTGACTCATTTGTAAATGTGAAAAATGTATCATCAAATTGAGTTGACATCCGTTTTATAAGCGGATAATTTAGTTTTTATTCAATTCATAAATGTTTTGTCAATTTTATTATATTTCGATATATTATACAATTTATATGATATATATTTACAATAAACACAAAAGTAATTTCCTTTAAAAGTTTACTCATCTCTAATTTTTAATAAATAATTTTATTATGAATTACATTAATAATGATTAATGAAATTATAAATTCAAATGAGACACAGAAGCCTATAATACGTATCCACACATTAAAGCAATGCATTTAATGCCTCGAAGAAGACCTCCCTTTTCTATGAAAGTAGACTTCATATGAAGTGTCAGTAAATTTGAAGACAAGTCTTTTGATGAGCGAAATGTTTGCACTTTAAAAAACTTTTGGAGGGAATAGGGGTTAAGAAACTCACTGTTTGTTTAACTACAGTATATTCTCGCGTACTTTAACTCAACTGAAGAATAGACTAAAGATAGTCTCGTTTTGTGGGAATTTTGTCAACTCCTAAATCAATGTCTAAAACGCTTTACTTCTTACTTCAAAATTTCAATTTATATTTTTAAAGTCTTTTTGTCAGAAATTAATATTTGTAAAAGTTTTGCTAAATATTGACTTTGACCTCAATATCTAATTAAATTTTTAAAATGATTTTTTAAAAACAAGATAAATTGACTCAATAATGTGGTAAATATTGACAAACAAATAGCATTCCTTAACATTACTTATAATGTTAATTAAAATGTTAGAAATAATTGAAAATTTGTTAAAACTCTCTCTTCATTGTCAATGAGTTCTTGTATTTAAAAATAATAACAATTACATTGACATAAAGTAGTGTACAGTTAGATACTTACAATGAAAGTAGTAATTATTATAAGTCTTTTTATTTGTAGTTATTATTAATTATTTTAATACTTATTAAAAACAATACACTCTTATGAAAATACTTGACATCAAAAATTATAAATACAATATAAATATAATATTGTATTGATGTCACAGATTTTAGACATAGGTTTGCGAACTTATACTAACTTATAATTTATACTACAAAATAAACTATAAATATTAAATTGATTTTAAATAAAGCATAGCATAAATGGTATAATTATGTTAATAATTATCACAACATTCATATAAATATTTGATTAATTACTGTTTGATTTATAGCGCATAAATATATTAGCATTATTAATAATAATTTAATACTATGATAATTTGTAAACTAAATATTTTATTTCAAATGATATATTATGGTTGTTTTGTTTTGCATTATATAATTTTGATAGATTTACATTAATTTTATATAAAATACCAATAAAATCATTATTAATGACATCAATGATAGTGAATATTTGTGTGCTTTATTACACATTAAATAAATGCTTTCCATATTATACTGTATTATTATTAACGAATTATAGCGTTCATTAAATTAAGTCAGTAATAATATATAAGTTATAACGTATATAATTTAACTAATAGATGCATGTTAGTATTTATAGTATCCTTAATCAGTTAAATATAGCTTATTTTATAAGTTATAAATAAATGTACAAAGTTTTTTGTTCTAGATGATAATATTTTGTTATATAAATTCTAACAAATGTTCAATTATTTCATTATCAGATCCATTAAATGAATTCTCAAGACATGAAATTGTTTTTCCAAAATTGTTTCCGTCTTCTAATCGCAATACGAGTCCATCAGAGGTAACGCTAATTATTTGATTACAAACTCCATTATAAATAAAGATTACTTTAATTCTGAACATATAATGACAAATGTTATGCAATAATAATTAAAATACAGTCATATAAAAAGCCAAAGTAATTCAATGCCATTCATTATAAAATTCTTGAGAATTATACCAAAACATTAATGTTATTTCATATGAAATGCAATGAAAAATCAATTTTAACAGAAATTTTTTATTTTTACAAATATCATTTCAGGAATTTTCCAATTTTCTTAGAAATGTCAATATTTAAAATATTTTATTTTATAGAATTTTATTTAAAAAATTTATAATATTATTTAATATTTAGAAATAACATAGAATTTGAGATTTTTCGATAAAGTGCCGGCAATTATTGTATGATCTTATTATTGCATTAGGCATTTGGTGGAAAGTTTAGTGTTTTTTCTAATTTTAAAAATTTTAACTATTTTTTTCAGATTAAAAATTTAGAAAACGATGGATTGAAAATTGAATTTAAAGCTTTCGATAAATTATTTGAATTGCAATTACGGAGCAATTTAGGACTCATTGCAAAAAATTATTTTGAAAAACACCGTCAAAATGGCATCAAATCAATGCCTCAGTTAACAGTAATTGAACAGCAATTATAGATAATTAAGAAAACATATTAATATTTTAATTAATTGCTAGAATTCAGACAACTGTCACTTTACGGGACATTTAGTTAACCAAAGTAACAATACATGGGCTGCTGTTTCCACATGTGATCAGATAATAAGTGGTGTGTTTAGCGATGGGACCGATGTATATCATATCCATCCTAAAGAGAACAGTCAATCGGTGATTATATTTAGAGACAGCGACAGATCTTCCCTCTCATCCTTCAAATGCGGTATTAATTAGTTTTTACATCTTTTAATTAAAATATAAGTTTTGATTATTTATATCGCATTATCTCAAAGGTTTCACTAATGATTCGATTATTAATTTGATGTCCAACCGAATCCGTCAAAAGAGAGCCGTATCTGATCCGTACGAGAGTAACGGTGTCTCTCGTTTTGTTGAATTAGTTATTGTTAATGATTACGATGTGGTCAGTACTTTAGCTTTTGATTAACAATTAATTAATTTTATAAACTAATGATTGATTATAATTATAGTTCACACAAAACAAGAAGAATAAGACAATTGTTTTTGACAGAAGTAAACGAATCGCAAATATAGTTAACGCTGTAAATATAGTTTGTTTTTTATATAACCGTCATTGTTTGCAGATATTAAACATAATTTGTTTTACATTAAAAGCTTTACAATCAATTGAATATATTTGTGGTTTTGGTGGGAGTTGTGATTTGGACCGAAATGAATGAGATTACTCTATCCACTGATGGCGACCAAACACTGACCAACTTTTTACACTACAGAAGAGAGCGCCTCATACCTATCCATCCCAATGATAACGCACAACTCATCACTGGATCTTCTTTTGATGGCGGAGTTGTTGGTAAAGCTCTTAAAGGGTCCATTTGGTGAGTCCATACATCACTCATATATCACTTCATATCTTAACATCAAATTATTTTTTCAGTACTTTTGAATACTCTGGTGGAGTGAATACAGATCACAGTCAAGTGAGTGAATTGCTTGCATTTTGAATGCAGTGTTTAATGAATAATTCATTGTTAGGTAACAAGTCTTGTGGCGACAACAGTGGCTCACGAGTTGGGCCACAACTTCGGGATGGAACACGACTCAGACAAGTGTCGGTGCGCTGACGACAAGTGCATTATGGCTCCGTCTTCGAGTACTGTTAGTCCAAAACATTGGTCTTCATGTTCTGTGGAATATTTGGAGCACTCACTCAAACAGGGAATGGATCACTGCCTTCATAATAAGCCGCGGCAATTGGTTGGACCCGTTTGTGGCAATGGCTTCCTGGAGAAGGGCGAAGAGTGTGACTGCGGTCTGAAGAGTACATGTGATAATAAGTGCTGTAATGCGACCACTTGTAAGCTGACGACCGGCGCTGAATGCGCTGTCGGCTCGTGTTGTGATAAAACAAAGTGTAAAATAGTAGACAAGAATCAAAACATGGTTTGCAGAGCCGCCAAAAGTAACTGCGATTTGAATGAATTCTGTGACGGAATATCCGAGTTCTGTCCCGAAGACCTCAAAGTACAGGACGGAACCGAATGTATCGAAGGCTTTGCTTTCTGTTATGGCGGCAAATGTGATACCCGTGAGAGTCAGTGCCGACTCTTGTGGGGAAAGAGTGGAGAAGTTTCCGATTATAAGTGTTACCAACAGAACACAAAAGGCAATGCAAACGGAAATTGCGGTTATTTTAAGCAAAACCAAACATTCATTAGTTGTAAACCTTCTGATGTGATCTGCGGTCGACTTCATTGCTTCCATCAAAGCGAACAATTGAAATACGGCACCGAAAGCGCAGCCATATTAGCAAGGTCATTCATTCCCAACCGGGGCAAAATACTCGCCTGTCGGTCAGCCATGATTGACCTCGGATTAGACACTATTGACCCGGGATTAGTGCCTAACGGTGCCAAATGTGGGACCAATTCAATGTGTGTCAATCAGAAATGTGTTTCAGTTAAAGCATTTCTCGACAACAATGCGTGCGATAATAATTGTAATAAAAATGGTTTGTGTGATAATCGCGGTCAATGTCACTGTTATCCGGGATACGCGCCGCCCAATTGCGCCCATTCCATAGCCGGCGGTTATTTCCTCACAATCGCTATGTATATCATATTTTTGGTTGTCTTGCCGTTGACTGCGATCACAGCCTTTTTGATATACAATTATAACGATTCCATCAAAAACTGGTGGTTTATAAAAGCGAGAAAGTCTGCCATCAAATCGCGAGCTAAACAAATATCTCATCGAAAGCCTCCCAGACTTCCCGTTAATTTCAACGCCGAGTCTCTGGAGATCTCGAGTCCCATATCACTGGAAATGGAGTCCACGAACTCAACAAATTCACCCATCAATTCAGCTTCTAATCCGAGAT